GATGCCCAGGTGTGGCTGGGCACCCCCTTTTTTCAAATATATTGCACCCTGATTCAAAGAGAATTTTTAAAATATTTTTAAAAATACAAACATGATGCCCAGGTGTGGCTGGGCACCCCCAGCTTGTGGGAAAATAAGTGTTTCTATGTCAAGGTGTCCACATGTGAGGGTCTCACTGTATACAGTGAAATCTCATTACAACAAACTTTTTGGGACTTGAGGAAAAGTTTTTTTTATACATTGAATAATTTGCTGTCAAATTTTCAAAATTAATGATTGGAAATACTTTACATTGCAATTTGACCTCCCGCAATTTGATCATTCCAAAATTTGATGGTTGACTCGCAATTTAACCCTTGCCCCACATTTCAACCTGCTTTGGCCATTTTTTGCATTCTTGCATTGATATTTTTGAATTTCACAAAGTGTCTTGCAATTCAACTGCTTTGCAATTTGACCCCAGTTTGGCAACATATTAGGTTCAAATTGCCTAATTTACAAACCTGCCAGAAGTAGACGATGTAGTGCTGACGCCCGTCTTTCTCGTAGGTGTACTTCAGGACGTAAGAGTCGCCGCCGAAGAAAAGTCCCTGCTTTTCCGCCTCCAAAGGAACCATGTCGAAGTTCTCAATGCGCCAGATTTCCACGGACCCAGACCCGTCATCGGGCATGAATCCAAACGCCTTACCAGAGTTCTTCGCCAACAGGCGCCGTTTTTCCGCGTGCAAGCCAGCAATGTCAAAGTCACCTTCCGGTTTATTGGCACACAGGGCTGAAATAAAATAAAAAAGATACATGCGAGGGTTGTTTCGTAATTTTTTCAGAAATTTGAAATACTGCAGATCCGACGGAGTTTCAATAAATAAATTAATAAAATTCTCGCATGGCCCCATCATTCGGCCACATGTACTTATTCAGTCATTTTCAACAAAGAGATCCCTACATGCGGACACCTTGACATGGGGACAATTCGACATAGGGACAATTATTTAAAAAAATAAAATCATTAAGAAGGCCAAACATACACGCGCACAGACTCAAAATGAGGACATTGCATGATCAAATTGCAAATAAATTTTAGGAAAATTAACTTTTATTAGGCTTAATTGCAAGAAACAGATACAGTATTTCCAACTCTAAGATCTATGAAAGAAAAATTCTTTGGTACTTTTCCCATAACTTTCCCATCCATTCAGCTGATTAAAAAAAATATCTATAGCACAGTGGGACTTCCTTATCTCTTTGTGACTTGGATGTTATTTTTAAAGATGCCAACATGTCAATGAACTGTACAGCCATATGCTATTCAATGCTCCAAATGTTCTTATTGGGTTGAACAGATATTCACTGAATCAAATTCAAGTGGAAAAAATTTTTTTCATGGAATTCTGGAGAATATTTTTTCCATAGAACACCAATTAAAAATTATTTAGTCTATGGGAAAACAAGACTTGACTTAAGGACACTCTTGATGCACCAATCATGTCCGCATCATGGGGTTCTCACTGTACTCTTCAATGGCAATTTCAATGCATTTTTTCATGCAATAAATCGAATCCTCAAAATCAAGCAGAAAATAAAGTTCAGCTAGTTATTGATTATAGGCACCCCACAACTTTTGACTCTTCCCGACAGCGTAAAACGACCTGGACAGGATTGGTTTTGAGAATGACAGGGACAGCTTCATTTCCACCGTCGAAAAGCAGCTAACGGAACTCGATTTTCGGCATTGTTCTGATCGTTGGATTTATGGCATGAAAAAAGTGCATTGAAATCGGCGGGAAGAACTATGTATGTTGAAGAGCACGGAAGTGTTGCCACGGGGTGGGGCTATGCGAGTAGAAAACATTTTCGGAATTTTTGAAACTGTTGGCTATATGTTTCAAAAAGTCGCAAAACTTATGAACCAACCCTCATACATATATTGTACGTCCTCCTACATTTTACAGTATATTGCATAAAACTCACAGTTCAGGCAGAAGGAATGAAAAATATCACATATTTACTTCTCCCTTACGTCAGACAAACACAAACCCTAGTTTTTTTCTAAATTTTTTTCAAAAACCCACTCCCGTGTAGAACCTGTGCTCAAGTTTTTCCTTGCTGAAAATAAAAAAATATCTCTTTTGCACGTGAATCCATTTTTCTGCGATCGTATCGTGCTTTTCCTGTTTTTATTGTTGACAGGAGCAGATAAACCGTGCATGCATTTCATGGCAGCTTTCTCCATTAAGATGAATATTTTGGCCCTTTTTTATTTCTTGTTGCATCATCGTATCAAACTAATACAATCATTATAGAAACAATTATGAAGCATTCTCAAGAAATTTGAATTGCTTGAACCATTGCTTTCCACGACAAAGTTGGTTACCCTAACTGATTCAATGCTCACAACGCAGAAAATACCTGCGCAGTTTCATGAATTTTTTCGGCAAAGTTTTGGTACAACAATTAAGCTTGGAATAAAATTATGACATTATCAGTTTATATAGAAGGCGAGAGATTTCTGAAAAAGGGATACTGGAAAAGGCCTTCCGATACTCGAATAGTTTTCAACGCTTTTTTAATGGGCGGAAATGCCAATTTTGGTTCATGAATAAGGGTGAAGTATTATTTTAATGCGCATAATTTTTAGAATGAAAAAGGGAGCAAAAATTACCAGAAATTTGGCGCTTGCTGTACACCCTCCCAAGGCCAATCGTGTCTTCTGGCTCTCTCCAGGTCTTGAAATATTGCTTGAAAACCGCTGGTTCTCCACCCTCGACAATCCTTTCGACCTGCAAATAATGAATAAATAATTAAATCGTTGTCTTCCGCATTGATTTTGACATGCAATTTCGAATCAAGTAGTATTTCCGGAAGACTTTTACGGCAGCATTTCATACTTTGAGTTCATGTGTAAAAGAAGAACAAATAAGCTCATCAAAATGTTCCAGTCAAAATGAAGATACAAATCATAATTTAAAATTAAAATTATCCATAATTTAAATATTTTCAGCACTCTGGTTATTGCAGGATTTCTTACAGCTAATCATTCTTCAAATTTTTGTACACTCAAATTGCTATATGGCAGAAGACAATTGAGACTTGATCAAGTACTCTTTAAAAATAAAAGATGCAAAGCAAATGATATCGACTTCACATTTTAAGTTTTCATGAATTTCCAGGGAGAAGTTTGCTGTAAATTCCGGAAAAATCTTCTCATGCAAGGCATTATTTTTCCATGATCTCAAAATAAATAACTGAGTTGCTGAAATACGAAAAACGTCAATTGCTTACCTTGGTGCTCTTGGGATATCCCTTCTCCTGAATGTACTTCACAGCCAGATTCATGGCATGAAGCTTCTCAGCTTTCGAGCTGCCACGTCCAACCCAAACGTAGATGACTGCCGATCCAGTTTCCAGCAAGTATACGTCCTATATATATATATGAGGATCAAAACAACGATTACTAAAATTGCTTATCAATATACTTTTATTTTAAAGTGCACCCAGAAAAGTATAGAGGGTTATCTTTTGAGTGAAATATACGGCAGATAAGGTGCAAGTATAGTTCTTCGATGCGATGCTCTATTTTTATCGAAGTTCACATGGTAGTGAGGAAATAAAATGAAACCGAAATTAAATTCAGCATTGCGAGGCTGCGTCAGGTCAGTTCAGCGTGATGTTTTTGACAAAATTCAACCCGCGATTTCCAAACATGTCACCCATAATAAGAAGGCCAGGATTGGAGACGGCTGCATGGGTGATGGAACCCCCAAAATAACCTCAGGTAATGTAAGCTGATTTTTGCAATTTTTGATTTGAGCAAGAGGGTATATACGAGGGTTCTAACAAAAGTTCTCGGAATGAAAATGACTTCTGATTGAGCTGAAAAAAAANCACACACGGAGCAACCGACAATTTTTTTTTTTTTATCTATTCCATCGTATATGACAACAAAAAAACTTGACAGAGAAAAACAAACATACAGAGAAAGAAAGATAGGAAGAAGCCATCAGCCAGAAAATCACGGGGAACCAAGCAGTGCTGCAGGAACCCCGTATATAAATGCAAGCAAAAATTGTCCAAAAATAACCTCATATCGAACGGGAATCGCCAAATCATTAATAAAATAAAACATACAGATAAGGAAATAAATACCACCACCAAAAATATATGTTGGCATCTATGATGAATCCAACGTACCTGCGATCCTTCCTCCTTTTCAAGTTTTTGAGAACGAGAATATAAAGCCAAGAAAGCGGATATTCGTCACCCACATAACAGCCATCATGGGGACAAAATCCGAAATTTGACACAACATATACATATGAATGCGGGATCATCAAAAAGAACAACAACAGCAACAAAAAACTTACGCCAGTTCCGAGCATGTCTTGAGTCAAGGGCTTTCCTCCAACTTTCTCCACACTCAACGAGCCGTCGGCGTCAGAAATCTTTGACAACTCGACAGTGAGCTGAAAAAAAACGTAAAAATGGCACTTCAAACGTAATTCATTAATTCACACGCAGGAGAGAAACGTTTGGCAATGAATTCCTCAATGCAGTTGAACCTCAATAAATCGATCCTTTTCCCATGTCAATTTTTTTCAAGCCCTTGTCGGAATCCCTTGAAAGTTCGATATAACTCGAAGGCTTTTTCCTCAAACCTCTATATAGTCTATAATACTGCACTCAAATTTTCTTCAGGCCTTTGAACTATTTTTTTTTTATTGACACATCAAAGAAACAAAAACAATAGAAATTTAACTTCGTGCTTTTTGAAAGGAATTGAAGGACTGAGCGGACAAATAGAGACCCTTTGCCTCCAAGTTCCGTATCCCAACAAACTCTTTACAAAGTAGTTTCGGGCCAAAAAATATAACTTTCAATACAGTATGTTTACAGTGAAAATGGTAGTTTTCCTAACTCAGAACTTCTTCAAGTCTAATTTCTGCTGCTGGTCCCTGGAAATCTTGATCGAGAACTTTAACCTGTATAATAAAAAAATAAAAATAAAAAAAAGAAATCGTTGTGAGAATGAATGATTCTCCGTACTGAGATTTTTTGTAAGAACGATTCCACACACATCTCGGCATTTTGGATAATGATCAAAAATTCGTCTTCTTTCTGAAATTTATCGAATTTCAGAGTGCATCACATCTCGTTTTTCTCGGAATTTTGACTTGAAGAGGTTCAACTGTATATATTCTCAACAATTGCAATAAAGATTGAAAATT